CGATCTTGAAATGTTCTTTTTGACAATGAATGCAATGCCATTCCTCTTCAGGTTGTCATCCTGGCATGGCAGACCACATGATTGTCTGATTCAAAATGGCCAACACCAGTCCATTTCAGCTCACTAATGTCTAGCATATCCATCTTTATGCATTCCATTTCATTTTTGGTGACTTCCAATTTTCCTAGATTCATACTTCATACATTCAATGGTCTGATTATTAATGGATGTTTGCAGCTGTTTCTTCTCATTTTGAGTCATGCCAGATCAGCAAACGAAGGCCTCGAAAGCTTGACTCTATCCATATCATTAAGGTCGACTCTATTTTGAGGAGGCAGCTCTTCCCCAGTCGTATTGCATGCCTTCCAACCTGAGGGGCTCATCTTCCGTCACTATATCAGACAATGTTCCACTGCTGTTCATAAGGTTATCATTGGCCAATTTTTCAGAAGTAGATAGCCACATCCTTTTTCCTAGTCTGTCTTAGTCTGGAAGCTCTGCTGAAACCTGTCCACCATGCGTGATCCTACTGGTATTTGAAATACCTGTGGCATAGCTTCCAGCATCACAGCAACATGCAAGCCACCACAGTATGACAAACTTACAGGCATATGGGTACAGGCATAGAGGCTAGGATTTACAACACATATTTTTTGGGAACACAGTTCGATTCATAACACTAATTCATTAAATTGAAATTTTTGGGTGAAAAATATACATGCAGGTGAACTGTAGATGTAATAAAAAAGAGAAAAAGGACATGGTGACTATATATGTATTTAAACAATTCTTGGGCTCTCCTGAATGAAACTGTTTTTAGCATATCTGCTGAGGTCTGATGTTGCTAATATCATTATGGCCTCATAAAACTGAGTTTCACATACACGCAAAAATTTAATACAGCAAAACTACAAAAGAAAAAGATCATGAAAAGCTGTTGCTGCACAAGGAAAATGCAATTTATTTTGGAAATAGAGAATCATTCAAGCTTATGGGCTATGTAGGCGTTCACTGGTAAATTTGGACTAAACAGGAAGTGATGTAAATTATACCTACTACACTGTTGGGAGAGAAATATATTAAATTCAGACAGAATGTGGACAAGGCACAAAGAGCTCATTGTGTTGAAGGAAAACACACAACTTTGGTGGGAAGATAATGCACTATATGGTATGAAAACTATCAGTGGCCATTTGGGACTAAAATAATTTTTTAGGCGGTATGATTTTGTTCTAATATTGGATTTTTTCTTCCTTGATAAAGCCCTAGGGTGTCTTAATCTAAAGCATATTGCTGTGTCTCTACTTTTAACTATATCATGCTGTTGTTTTGAAGTCATTCAACTGGACAGAATAAGACACAATGAAACCATCAATGCTTAGATTAGAAATCACAGCCATGGAGAAATGCCTAGAAGAAAGGTGAGGATTGAGGAAGTTACTGAATTATCTACTGCCCATATCATATCACCTGAAGAGTCTCCATGAGTTGAAATAGACAACATTGTTGATGTACCCAGGAATCACCTAGTAAAAGAAAATTTGACAAATTGACCTTGAGAGTAAAACAGCATTATGTGATCTATTCCATGAGATTTTCTCAACTGCTGTCTTTACGACAAAGCCTTCGTGAACTGAAAAACAAACAAAATGCAGCCAAAGTGCTGGCGAGCTGGTTGGCTGCTTGAGTGGTGTAAAGAGAACTAACAGTAAATCAGGTCAAAGACATTTTTAATCTAATGTCCAATTTACCATTTTGTTACAAAGTCATATCCAAAGTAAAGAAGTAATTGAGTGAATTAGATTCAGCCTTACAGGTTACTATTAGACTTCGCCAGAGTGCAAAACAAGATGGGCTTTTCTAATTTATTGGCCTTAAGTGAAGGAATCCTGGTGGTGCAGTAGTTCAGTGCTTGGCTGCTAACCAAAAGATTAGTGGTTCGAACCCACCAGCTGCTCTGTGGAAGAAAGATGTGGCAGTCTGCTTCTGTAAAGATTACAGCCTTGGAAACCCTATGGGATAGTTCTACTTTGTCCTATAGGGTTTCTTTGAGTTGGAATCCACTTGATGGCAATGGGTTTGGCCTTAAATGAGGGACTCGCTTGGTGGACAAATGGTTAAGCAGTTGGCTACTAATCGAAAGGTTGGAGGTTTAAATCCACCCAAAGTTGCATTGGAAGGAAGGCCTGGTGGTCTACTTCTAAAAAAATCATCCGCTGAAAATCCTATGGAGCACATTTCTATTCTGACACACGTGGGGGCACCATGAGTTAGAATCTACTTGACAGCAACTGGTTGGCTTGGTTGGCCTTAAGTGAATATTTCTAAAATGGCAAAATTAAAATCTTTGAAAATAATTTAGTAAAAATGTACTTATAGTTTATTGCCTCGATTTTCAAGGAACCTTGTAATCTTTTAAGGAGTGATTTCCTTTATCAGGTTGGTGTTGGGATCACCACAAAAGTACCAAGGATGCTCTCACTGGAGGAGATGACCCCCCAAATCCCCTCTGTGATGCTCAAAGGAGTGCCGGGACTTACGAAAGACAAAGCAACTGTGCACTCAGCCTCCTGGCTGGATGCAAAAGGAGCAAACTTTGATGAGAAGTCTTTGATGGGAAGGGAATGTGACATGCAGCCTGCAAGGCTCTCGCTGCACTTTTCATTTGAATAGACAGAATGATTTCACAGAACTCAGTATTCATTGAGTCCTTGTGTAGTGCAAATGGTTAACATGCTCAACTGCTAAACACAAGGTCACTGGCTCAAATCCACCCAGAGGCACTTTGGAAGAAAAGTCTGGTGATCTACTTTCAAAAAAAACAGCCATTGAAAACCCTATGGAGCACAGCTCTACTCTGACACACATGGGGTTGCCACGAGTTGGCATCAGCCAGATGGTAACTTGTTAAGAGTTTACTTAGGAATGGATTTGAATCAGTGATAAAGTCAGTCCAAATCTATTTTAGTCTCTGACTTTTACGAGTTATTAAACTACACTATGGTCTGCTGAGTATGAAATAAAGGATGGTATTTTGTGAGGTTTATTTATATTTATCTGTATATACATAATCAAAAAGTATTTGTTGAATATTTCTATGATATTCATTGATGTTAACTCTCTCTCCAATCTCACTCCCACCACTGTCCATCCTTTCTCCATCCCTTCACCCCGTATCCCTTTAGTGGCTCAAGACACCAGTTCTGGAATCAGACTGACTGGGAAAGTTGTCTAATTTCAATGCCTCAGTTTCTCATCTCTAGAATTAGGACAGTAACAGGGCCTAACTCACAGGATTTTTTTTAATGAATAGAGGGAAAAAAATACAATGCTTAGAACACTGCTTGGCACCTAGTAAGCACTCAAATACTAGTCATTTTCATAATTATTTACCATCTATCTCCAGTCTATGTAACTATTGGTAGTATTTACTACCATTAATTCTCTTTCAGGGATGGATTTTTCTAGTAGATCTTCAACTGAAGGACACTATACAATGAGATACTTAAATAGGTTTTTCAGGTGCCATTTTTAAGCAATTATTTGAAAAAAAATTCTCTTCATGAATGGTCTTACTTTCAAAAGCTTCTATAATCCAGCTTTCTTAAAAATCTACAGAAATCAGCTAGCCTCGGCATGCGTTAAATGGATCATTCTACACTTAAGTGATACACAAAGTCTGGAAAATTATAATTCATGAGATTTCATTTCTAGAGTTTGGACCACTTTTTAGTTTTATATTCTTTAAAATATTAAGTTAGGAGTCTCTTTAAGATGATGGTTGTTATGAAATAAAAGTCCAGTTCATTTTTTAGTATAGATCCTATTTTGTTCAGTGTTTTAAATTACTATACACAAATGGTAGAACTTTTCATAACAAAGGTTTAATTAGAATGGTTAATAACTATGATTTCCAAAGTGTCTGAGTCGGCCTTAGTAATAATTAGGGAGTTTTGTTCCATACAAAATGCTTTATTTAACCTTCATGCCTTCATTCAGATAATTATACAAATGCATACAGTTAAAGGTTTAAACTCTATTTCAGTTCACAGCTCAATTCATAGGAAAGTTGAATACAGAAAAGCAATGCACCAACAGAATATGTCTGAGACACCATTAAAAACGATAACACTTGTTCATTTAAATCTCTGAGAATAGACTGGAATAATCATCCTCTGAGAGAATCTCATTAGGAGGGTCTCCCTTTACATTATCATAGGGCAAAAAAATCACCATTTTACAGTAAAAGGAAAAAAGCTCTGAGTATATTTACAATACATACACTATACATAAATACAAGAACAACACTTACATAATATTAATAAACTTATAACGAGGGTTGCCTAAACACTACAGAGTATATAAGTGCAGAGGAAACTATTGGGAAATTAGATCATTAGATAAGCCGGAGAAATAAATTCATTTGCAATTAAAACTCTGAACAGAAAACAAAACGAAGATTTAAGAAATTAACACATTTGCTCGCCAGCATCATTGGGGTTTTTTTCCTCCTTTGATGCGTAAGACCTCCTCCGGGCACTCTAACTCTCTGGGGTCAGAGACACAAGAGTCTTTTCTAAAATTACATCCGTAAAGTGAATCAGATGCAGCACATCTATTCAATTTGCTGTTCAGAGGCTTCCAGCCTAGAATAACTGTTTTGTAAACCAAAGGATGTTTTTGTATTTTTACACAGAAAGATCTTGTGATCCAATAACCATGTAAAATGAGCTAAATGTCAAGGAAAAGAAAAAAGATGCCTGCTTGATTTGGCCAAAGATGATATTTTTCTTTATTCTCATGTATTTTTTCAAACACAACTGAGAGAATTATTCAAAAGAGTATGACGTTGGAATTGACCCCCACACACCAAGAGCAACGTCTAGACTACTACTAATTATAACTAAGTCATTTTAAGTGGCAGGTGGGTATCTTGAAGGTGGTCTGGTCTCATCATTTCACAACACAAAGTTCTGAGTACATTCTTCTATGGACAAACATGAATTTGCTGGTTTCTTTTTTTTTTTTTTTAAATGAGCATGTTATGATACACATAATTACATTATGATGCAGGATGACATAATACATAAGACAATGTTTTCAAGCTGGTTTTGTAAGTAGTTATCTCACATCCACAGAGAGTTGGTTAGCCATGTGATGCAATGTGTCCCACATAGACATGGACAAAACAATACAGCCACCATCCTGTGGGGGGATAGCGATTTTCAAAAAAATGAATCTTTAAACACTACAAATTGTGGACAGACAAGTTGATAGGAAAGAGCCTTGAGTATAGGCACCAGTGCCCCAGTTCAACAATACCCATCCAATGTAATAAAGCTTGAGGAACAAAATATATACTATAGTCTGGATGTAATTACAAAATTCTGCTATGGAAAAAACTAGAAATACAAGTAGGGCAAATGTATTTTTTATAATGTGGTATGCTATAATTCTAGCGTGTGAAATTAGCAGAAAGGAAAGGTACTGGTATGTTCCTAAAATATCTTACTTTTTGATTGCTTGGGCATGTTTACTACTAGATTTGGACCCACATTCTACCCTCCTCTTCACCCTCATTTCTCAACAAAAATGAATCTCTGTGAAGGTCTTGGTTTAACCTGCTTTAGAAGAAGCAAGATATAACTCACACAAGAGAAGTCATTGGTTCTTTCCTTGCACAAAGGGCAGACTCTGTTATCTCAAACACTTCACATTTCTAGAGATGAAATCCAGAAAGAAAAAGTACTGATGTGACTATTTCCACTATTCATCTCGCTTCAACTCTAAGTTGTGGTTTTGTTGTTGAGAAATTATTGCTTGTGAAACCCAATTAACTGAGTCTCAGTCTTCAGTAGGTTGTACATACAGAACCCTTGCTTTCAGCACGGAAGGGAATTTGTTTATAGAGGTTTTATCTCTTCCGCCAGCCAAGTAACTGGGAAGATCATAATTCAGGAGATTCATTTTCAGAAACAGAAACACTATGAGAAATGCCATTCTCTTAATGTTTGCTAAGTCCATTAGTACTTGCATGAATCAATACTGTCAGAGACCTTGTTCTACACAGAAAAGTGGGGGGCGGGTTCATTTCTCTGATGTTGAATAGCTTCTTAACAGAAAATTCAATTAAACTAACAATACTACAGACGAACCATTTATGGGACTATTTAAAACATTCCACGGTGGTGCTATCAGGCAAGAAATCTGAAAAGGAATTGTCTTATTTTTCCTTGTTCATCATCCAAATATGCTGTGATTGCCACCCCATTACCACCCCATTAACCACTGCACGAGTGGGCTCTGATGTTAACACTAGTTCCATGGAGGTGAAAATTTTGAATCTATATTGGAAAAGTTTTTACTACACATACAAAGAAATATGCAGAATTGAGAAAATCAATTCAGGCTAAAATGCTACTAAGTAGAGTTTTGATCGATTTTAGGGCTCCAGGCCAACCATTTAGGAGGAAAGTGACAAATTCAGGGAGACATCTGGTTGTTGCTGTTTTTTTATGACCCTTCATATCTGACTTTCCAGGAGAGTCCTGATTTCAAATATTCTGTACCACCACCAAATCATGTGTTACATCATGTTCCAATATTTTACTTGGAAAATATGATTCCTACGCATGCATGCTGCCCATAATAGAACTACTTAGAGTTAGAAATACGGAAACTTGGCTGTGGGGCATAGAGGTGAAGCATGGTGGAGTGGGAGGGACAAAGGCTTCGAATACAGGGGTAAGCGGACTCACCTTCCTACTCTACCGTTTACCATTTCTGTGCTCACAGACAACACAGCCACCCTCTCTGTGCCTCAGTTCTTCCATCCGTAAAACGTAGAACTGTTGTGGAGATTAGAGGCAAAGGCAACACGTCTAAAGAGTGCCTAGCGTCATTCTTGGTACACAGCAAATGTCCAATAAAGGATAGCTATTATTTTCATGGTTTCCTGAATCTTTGACCTTCCAATTTAACACTGTCAGACAACATGCAGAAGGACACCCAGACGTAAGACTTCACTTCAGTGAAATGAAGGAATCCAGAGACATTCCTTTGACACTTACAGAGGGACTCTACCCCACAAGCCCCAGCACATTTCCTCCTCCCTTTCTTCTTATCTGAAACTTGAAACAGGAAAGAGTAGATGGCTTTCTAGGCATGTGGTCAGGTTCTGGAAAGCAATGTCCATCGTGATCATGTTCACGGTCTGAAGCCTGGATGTTTAATCACAGTCATATTTTTTTTAATTGCTCTTACAAAACGTTCAGCTCTGAAAGAGTATAATTTTACTGATAGCCTCAATAGCTTGTTTGGGTGAATTCGTGCTCTGAGACAGTAGGGTTGGAGAATTTGCAGGGTTCATGTCTGTTCAAATGATCTGATCGCATATTTCTATCCCTGACTCCACTTTTAGCAGTAAAATAATTATAGGAAAAAAACTGTGAACTTCTGAATGTAAATCTGGTAGTTTTCAGAATTAGCTGCAAACCCTGGCTGAAGATTAGGCTTACTAAGTCTTAGTAGTAGCACTTTAGTAGACTTTTTGGGTAGAAATGATTTTGTTAATATTTATTCACAAATGGTTCTTAGATGATAACAGGAAATATTAAGGAAAAAAGGAATAAAAGAAATGTAATTTGTGCATTTGATATTAGTGGATAAAATCAAACAACTAAGCAAAAAATCCTCAGTGTTATACTCTGAATAATTGTTTTATGTTTTTTTACTGAATAAAACTTTATGAGCCAAAAACAGTGCTTTATAAGTTTAGGGCAAATCACAGTGAAGTTTTTATCTAAAAATTGTAATTGCCATATGCCATACTATACACTGAAGTTAACTTTAATGTTCAGATTTGCACTCTACATTCCACAAGTGAGAAAGATCAAATTAAGAAATGCTAATGCAAATAAGCTTAGGTATATTAAAAAGACACAAAAGATTTTGTGGGTGTGTCAATAGATTTAATTTACTATGTGCATAAATTACTGTGTGTGTATGTGTGTGTGTGTTTGTGATTGTGTGTGTTTTCCAAATGTGGAGGAAAAACCCAGTCTGATGAAGGATTATTGCTGTGTAAATGTATAGAAGTTCTCATCGGTCATAATGTTTATTGACAGGCACTTTCAGCTTTTAATTCATTTCTGAAAATGGGCATTAGCTTATTTCTATTGCCAGTAGAGATTCATTTAACACGTGGCCATATCCACAACACTTAATCTTGTCAACAGGTAACTATGCCTAAAAGTATTGACTCTAAAATATAAACACCTGTATGTTCGTTTTTTAATTAAGAACCACTTTGTTAAGGTAGAAATATCACTGAGAAAATTAGCACAAGTAAAATCCTGTGTAGCTGTTTTCCCCTTTTTAGGCAAAGATATTTTGAGTTTGGAATCAGTTGTCCGCAACTCAGAATGACTTCATTGTGTTTTAAACCATCCTGGTTAAATCGAGACAAGTGGCCACTCCATTCTGAAGACAAGGAACGTGCTCTGACAAAGTGGAACAGTTGAGTTGCCATGGCAATACAGCTAATCATGTGGAAGATATACAAGGCATATCTGAACAAGTTTTATTTTTATTTTTTATTTATTGTGATGAAAACTAGAGCTCTTTTCCCCAACATACTTCATCAAACTATTTACAACTTCTGTAAAATTTGAGTTTGAAAATATTTTTTCTACTATCACGTTACGAATACAGTAAAATATCTTCAATCTATTTTTTTAAAGATGCAGTATCCTATTTCATTTTCTTATGAAAATCTGAATTTCTATTGCAATTGCTCAGTATTTAGCATATTTAATGTGTACCAATGGGCATGGGTTGCTAAACAGACATTACTCTATAATGAAACTGTGAAAATATAGCATTTTTAGTTTTATGTACATTTCTTAACTATAAAATGCAGGTAAAGTCATATATAGCATTATAAGCTGGTAAATAACTTACATTTCTAGACAGCATGGGTTATTACAAATTTTCTCTTTTAAAAAATGTCTTTGTTGATGCTTATTAAGTATGCATAGCCAACTGGCTGCATATACAGATGTGTATACACATATGTATGTGTTGGGGATGCCTGTACAGGTAAGGGAAAGGTAGTATGGGGATAAGAAGAACTATAATATGGAAGACATGACTTACCAAACCCCTTTTCTAAAAAAAAAATCAACTTGTAAAGATTTTTTTTTATGGGGTGCACCATCTCAGAAAAACTAAAGTAGGAGATTTGATCAATGTAAGTTGTAACTGAATAGATTTCACCTGCTAAATTTACAGGAATTAGTAAAGAGCAAAAATCTGAGACTGGATTATGCACTATGAGTATTCAGGCTTCCTGGGCCTATGATGATTCATAAAAGTTATATCACTTTAGTCCTTTAGACACAGACTGTAACTCTCAATGAAACATGGATGCTGGTACTGTTAACACTGCTTAAATTCTGTCAGTCCTTACTAGAAATGTTAAGACACCTTTATAACAATATCATGGCTACATTTCTAAGCAGTCATAACAACAAAGTCGTAGTAACACATTTGAAGGCCTCACCTCACCGGATTTATTCAATTGCAGCTTTAGTAAGTATAATAAATAAAGCACAGAATAAGGAATACTGCATCTTTATCCATAAACAGGTCATCATTCTAGTGAACTGATTTCAAAGTGCAGAATTATATTTATGTTTAAAATACAAATGGTAACTTGAAGTTAAAAAAAAGTTGTATTAAAAAAAAAAGAACACAGTCTTTGCATAAACTATTCCAAGTTTCAGGCATAAAGAAACTGGCCTTTCTAATCATCTGGAACTGGCATTTGTAAACACTGTAGCATTTTGTTTATGTTTTTTTCCCTGAAAAGGGTCTTCCTATTTCTCGCTTAAACACTAAAGTGAATAAAAAGTGCCCATCTTAAAAAAAAAAAATGTGGTCTAGGTTACGTTTACTGCTTTTGAAACTAACTGTTCTATAGTGTTTTGTAAAAGTAATGCCAGGCAGTAGTATAATTTCTATGGTAAAGTCATTTGGAATTTCGTTACCATATGCCTTAACAGAACTTAAAGACAATTTATTAAGCTGGATGCTCCGAGCCTTTGCACAACTGACGGGATGGGGCTGGAGGGCGGTAAGGGAGCGGGAATGTTTTTTCCAAACAATTTAAGATCAGAATATGAGAAGGGAATCTATTAACATCTCAGTCGGAACCTCATAACTTTTCCTTGAAATCCTTAAACTCCCCTGAAATCAATCTCTACAATGCAAAGAGAGAGTCATGTCTACCGCAGCTTCTGAAACCAGGACAGCAATATGCATATACGTTCACGAACATACACACATCCCCAGCTGCAAATCCAACAGCTTCAAATATAAAACCAAAGAATGCTTCCAGTTAGAGAACAACCTGCCAATTTCTTCAGGACTCTACCCCTTTTCTGTTGCTCATCACGTACTGTGCTTTTTCAAAGAGGCTACAAATGGACATAAAATGAAATGGCGCCTTTTCTATGCTTAACGATATCCCTACTTAAAAACCCATTTCCTTCCGTCCAAAACCACTTTCCTTTCCATGAGAAAACACTTTTAGAAAGCTCAGCAAGGAGAATCTGCTATGTCCCAAGCCAAGTCCCAAATAAATTTCAGCTCCTGGGGACTGATTTAAACATCTCTCCTCTATCAGTGACGGGTTCACTTATTTGTGCTTGGATCCCTCTTTAGAAGCATTGATACCTTAAGAGGGAGAAATGGCGTGATGCTGACAGGCTTCCCTGTTTAACTTACCGTCTCAGTCTGGTTTCCACTTTCAGAGGGTAAGAAGAAAAGCTTATTTCCCTGAATCTTTCCTATGTTATTAGAGAGGAGCAGATCGTTTAGTTCTGTGCTAAGTTTAAACCAAGCTGTAACTAACTCAGGAGGCTCCCACTGCCTGTCAGTTCTATGAATTCTAACAACCATTCCTACCTGTAACACTCCCAAGACATCTCTCAGCAGAGAAATGGACTGGTCTTTCCAATGAGTACAGGCAGAATTAAATCAAATCTACGCTTTACCTGAGTGATTTATCTACTACCTGCCAACTAGGTTCTAGAATTGGTGTACAGGAGCTCATAGCTGTGTTCGCCACTCTCTGTGATCGTTGCCACTGACCAGTCACCAACGCTGGCATGCATCAAGAAGCCTTTTTTTCTATTTTGAATGGTCACAGGCAATGATAAGTAGGAGTTGCATACAGTACAGATAAAAAAACTTTCCAGTTGGTAAAAAACCCCAGTGCTTGGTGGGTAGTAGATTGTGTAGCCAAAGAAGCTACTTATCAATAGAATTGCAGCCCTTGTTGGAGGGAAATTGCCTGATGAATTTTTTTCAGACCTGGCAGAAAATGTAGAGCACATATTTTTTGAAGACAGAATTTGACCTGAAAATCATTATACTTCTGCTTGAACATCTTTAAAAATTCCTTTTTAATACCATCCAACACAATTCTTCCTTGTTTCATTGTTCATAGTTCTTCCTTCATCAGAACAAGATTATCTGAATTAGAAGATAATCCTTAAAAGGATAATTCCATAACCAGAAATTATTTCAGCATGTTCAAACATTTAAAAAATGAGCTAGTAATATTGTGAGGTTAATTTGTGCCATTCCCAAAATCAAGTGTTTGTAATTAAAATATATTGCAAAGGCCTTTTCTGAAGACCCTTTATATCTAAGCTATAAAAATTCTTAACAACAACAACAAAAAACCTCACCAAGCCCCTTAGCCACATAAAGCTGGAAAAAAAACAGCTTTTAGTGGGGAAAAAAATGTGATCATTTTTTTCTGAAAGAATGCTTGTTGGTGATGTATTGCTTTGTTTACTGTATACTTTGCTAGTTGCAATAAAGGTTCACAATTAGAGGGGCTGATGGGACTATAGTTTCCTTTCATCCTCAGCACAGGATGAGTGGGTTCAACATCCCTGTAGATACCGATGAACCACTGGGTCCTCAAACAGTTTAGGAAATGAAATCTGTAGAGAAGAACCTATTGGAGAGTTGCCTCTCCTTGGCTCTCCAAGAGAGGAAACTAGCACCGTGTCAGTCTTTCCTTGGGGAGCATTCCCTTTCCGCTGACTCAGTTCCAAGGAGAACTGACCCAATAACCCAAGAGTTAATTTCCTGCTATGCCTCCCTTGCCTTTCTAGTCACCAAAATAACTGTTTTCAAACAAGAAAAGGGGAGCATAGTCTTTAATTGTGGTACTCAACCAAGCAGGACAACAAACAGCAGAAAGATTACCTCAACGCTGTAAATGTAACCAAGACATCTAAAATGCTGGGGTGTTTCTTACAATCCCTTTAGTAAGTATGAAAATTGGTAACGTGAGTCCTCATTGAAGTTATTGTAGGGAAGTCCTTTTATTCATTATTGCTTTTCTCCTCAAGAGGCGCATTATTTCCATCTCTGCTTTGTCTGATTTTTCATGTTCACTGACTTTACCTGGGCCGCCCCACCTCTTACCTTGGTGCCAGTGTGTCTAAGAGTCTTTTCCCCCCTGATTCCTTGTAATCAAATACTAGGGGCTGGGAGAGATGAGGCCTAGGTGACAGAACACTGCAATTTGAAGTGGGGCAGTAGTTTTTTAGTCAGGCTCTTCCTATTCAACTACGCACACCTCTGTGCCAGACCATGCCAGGGTATACACCGGGACTTGAGTTCCACTGAAATGTTGCTGCCCCTCTGCTTGAACGGATGAACAAAACAGAATAAAAACAAAACAGAAACAATCAACAACAAACGACAGGTTCGATGTTGGTTCTCTTCAGGGCATGGCATAATGACAAGTTGCGGGTGATATCTAATAGCCGTCATCACTATTGCAAAGGGCTGCTTGAGTGCCCCTTTCTTTGCAGGTAATGGAACCTCTCCAACAGCTTCTTCTTTTCTACTTTCATGCTGCTTGCTGGTAACAGATTGGATGTGTGTTCTAGCTCACTCAGACAGTAACTAAAATTTTTGTAAAAAGGGGTGAAGGGGTGGGAGGGTGGGAGAAGAATCCAAATTTAAAAGGTCTTGCTCTAGCCATCGATTTGTGGCAGTTGAGCTTTAACATATCAATAATAAAATGTCTGACAGCTCAGAAAATGTACAAGCTACAAACATCTTTAAATGGCAGAGTACACAGCATGGAAAACAATGCCTGTCTCCTCAGCATTTATGCCACCGATCTCCCAGGCCAGCGTGAAGATGTTCTCGGGTAGTCATGATGGGGGTTACCTTCAGACCAAAAGGAGAAGTGTTACTTCTTTCTCCTGCTCTGGTTTCAGACATCGTGGGATGGTGATGCCCTTTTGTGTTAACACTGTGAAGGGGATCCAGCCCTGCTGAATCGGGTGCCGCTAAGAGATCCAGCTCTTATGCTCAGCTGGACAGGTAGCCTTCCTCACACCAGCATATGCCTCCGGCGGTGCAGTGCCAAATGATCTGACCGGGAAAAGCTGCGATCGCAGTCCGCACACTTGAATGGCTTCACTCCTGTGTGTTTGCGGTAATGCCTTGTCAGTTCATCCGAACGCGCAAACTTCCAGGTGCAGCCTTCCCAGGTACACTTGTAAGGTTTCTCTCCTAGAAGAAACAAAGGGACATGACTTTGGTGTTTCATAACTTTTGCATCGTAACCGAGCCAGCACTAAATTTTGGGTGACTGTTGTTCTCAACATATTTTCTATTCGGTGATCCTTTGTCAGGAAAACTCACCATCTCCCTGGGAGGCTGGAGTTGGTGGGGGGTTGAATCGCAGCTCCCTGACTGTGACCTCTGGTAAGGGAATTAGCACTTGCATCCTCAAAGTGCAGGTTAAACCTCTTTGCATTCAAAATTTCCAAAGGCATGGATGATTGCTGAGTATAATCATTTACCACTGGTGGACTAAAAAGGAATTTTAGATTTGGCTCTAAGGCTGTTAGTCACACAGAACTGTAATGGCTAATTACTTAAGTTTTACTTCAACACCACCCCTCCCAAATGTGTACCACTTGTAGGGCTTAAGGATATTTTAAGACAACGTCCACATATCAGTTATGGAGGATACACACAAAATTTCATTCAAAGGGAAAGCACTTTCCACCCCCTAAAATTAACTATTAAGTACATATGAATTCATATGCTTGTCCATTGGGAAAGAATTCTGGGTATCTTAATAGCGTAAAGTTTAAATACATTTTTTTCAGTGACTTAAGAATTAGGGCGAGCCCTGAGGAATCATCAAGTGGATTCGAGACTTGAAACTCACGGTATAAAGCAGTCTGAAGAAGTATGTAATTTGACCAGGTCCCTCAGTCGACTTGTAAGGACAGTAAAATATGCACCGGCTTTGCTGGGAAAAGATACACTATCCACTGTCCAAATGAGCTCCCAGGGGGAACAGGACAATAGTTGACCCAGGTGCGCTGTTTTCCTGGCTCTTGTTCGGAATGGAAGCCCTGTCCCCGTGCAACCCCACAAAACCTGTTCTCTCCTTCTGTCCCTTTCACCCAGTAGCCAACAATGTGCTTCTTGGGCACGCAGAGTCTCATGTGAAAAGGGCCTGAGACAGGGAAAGGAGCTACTTACTGATCCCTATATACAGAGCTGCAAAGTGAGTATTATTAACCCCACTTTACAGATGAGAAGACTGAGGCTCAAAGTAGTAAAGTAACTGGCCCAAGAACAGAAAAAGTTGTGTTTGGCTCTAAATCCAGCCATTTCTACTATGTTATAGTAGAATGGCTGATTCTTTCCCCATATAAACCTTAGTTTATATGTACCACTTTCTTAGGTACTTCCATATTGTTTACTTCATATTTCCATTACATCATCTATCAAAATATATCATAAAGATTTGTTTAGATGACTTCTCCCCTACAAGTTTCTGAATAATTGGAGGTCGGGGACCATGCCTCTACTCAGTTCAGTATCCTCGGAGTCTAGAACAGGTGCCAGGCATATGCTTGAACAAATTAATAAGACTCTGTATCACATGCATGCACACAGGCATGCACGCATGCCAAACGACTAAGCTACGTAAATCAGATGTACCAGTAATGCCTACGTGGGAAAACTAGACTGAATTGGACGCGAGCATTTTTCATTCAACTGGTAATCACTGCTATATATAAAGGTCATTTTAGGATCAAGTTGCCCATTCAGAAGTGAGTGAACAGTACAAGCCAGCGAAATCTAGACATATTGATGCGCTAATTGTGGTCCTCAGCAAGTCCCAGGTTACTCTGAAATGACCCTTTTCAAATAGGAGCTTATTGACCGGATTGACCCCAAACCTTAATTTCTAACTCATTGTGCATGTCCTATGGAGACAAATCTGCATTCGGGGGTACCTACCAACCAGAGTTGGACAGAAATTTAAAAAATAAAAATCAGTAAAACCTCTAACTTAAAAAAAAATAAAAGATGGGAGGTTTGCTATGCAGTGTTATATTGGTGGCAATTGTTAACATCCCCTTGTTTACCTGTGGTCCCCGTATGTTTTTAAAATTGACATCAGAAGCATGGATCCTAATAAACTGAGTATGATATAATTCATCTCTTCAAAAACATATCCATCTTTGGTGCACAGAGCTTAACTTGTTGGCTGTCTATCCTGGACAGGCATCTCCCAGTTATCCCCGGTGTTACTATGGAGCCAGTTACAGAGAGTTTAAGGCTTACAAAGGAAAGAAGAAAGGATGTTCTTCACTGGGGAGGAGCATTCTCAGTTGCATGGTGGGAGGATGTGCGTTTCTCTCTTGGTGAGACTCATACACGAGGCATGCCTCCTACATTCAGATTAGAAAAGCTACTGATCCTGACCTTGCTATTTCTTTTCTTTTAAACGAATTAAAAAATTGTATTTACTTAGAAGCATTCAGAATGTCAACAAAACAGCTTCACGCCCCCCTTTTCCCCATCCAACCTTTCGAGTTGCCATTGTCAATTTGATCTCACATAGATAATTCTTTAAGAGACCACAATGCTCAAAGCAGAGATACTTTACTAATTAAAATAAGCTATTTTTTCATTCATAGAAGACTTCAGTGGATAGTTTTGGTTTAAGGTGTAAAGTTTAAAGATATCTCAGGGAATAGTTTTGGGGATTCGTCCAGCCTCAATGGCTCCAGAAAGTCTCTAAACTGAAACACTAAACCCACTGCCATCAAAGTATTCCAACTCATAGCGATCCTATAGGCCAGAGTAGAACTGCCTCATAGGGTTATCCAAGGCTGCAAATCTTTATGGAAGCAGACTGCCAACTTTCTCCCATAGAGCAGCTGTGGGTTTGAACCGCTGACCTTTTGGTTAGTAGCTGAGTGCTTAACCACTGTGCCACCAGGGCTCCCTGTAGAAAGTCTCTACCAGACTTTAAAAATATCTTAAAGATCTTTTCTGCTCATTGAAAAACAAAAAAAGGTAGAATAATGAATAAGATCTTTCCTATGAGCGTGAGAGTCAGAGACAGAAAGCTTCAGAAATGTCTCTGTCATCCTCTACCTGATAACCAAAAGCAATTCTTTTATATAATGATAGCATCTCCCCACTCATTTAAATGCAGTTGTGTTCAGTCACTATGAACCATGATGACTTACTAATCTATAGCGTTTGCAAAACCAGAACACACCATCGGAAGGATCACAGGATAGAAGCTTAGATGTTTGGAATCATTTCTAAGATGGATATTTTAAGGGGGGTGGGCAGGGAAAGTAACAACTGGCAGCAAGGATTTGTGTTTGAGTACACAATGTGGGTCAGGAAAACAGCGCAAAATTTCAAAAACATCCTGTAAGGTGTAGCAAGTGCAATGAACAATCACGAAAGACAAGTGAAGAGGCCTCACACAATACAAGAGGCATGTACTTACCTACTTCACGGACAAAACCAAAATAACAATACATAGGTTATAAGCGATTAGGGGCTAAGTGACTAATGAAAAGTATATAATAAGGAATGCAACCCTTATTCACTGGGGGGAGGGAAGAAGGGAGTATCAGAAAATAGTAAATTCAATTATCTGAATGATAAATGAGTTTTCCTTGAAATTTTCCTTACAAAAATGTAAACTTGGATTATAATATAGGAGAAAATCTTATGCATAATATTCCTTAGCCTCATTGCTTTAATAAAAATAGAGTTTGAGCATTCTCTCTCCATATGTTTAAGGAACAAAAAGAAAACGAAAACAGGACTTTCAAGCCTCTCTTCAAAACTAGAGGCTAAGCTATAGGAGCACGGTGGCTACTCTGACAGGGCAGAGAGCTGGCTCCTGTCCTTCCTTCAACAGAGGCCTAGGTTTCAATTATACCCACCCAGTGCCTAACATTTCATTTAGAAAAATTAATCAAAAAATTTCCTCTTGGGGCTAATCATGTTTTAGAAACGCTTACAAATAAACAATTTTAGTAGCTACTGTGCTGTTTTTTAACTGCACATTATATTTTATGCCTGTGCTTTCAAAATAATAGAAACTAACTTTATGACGTGAATAGAAAACAATTAAAATGATAAATAAGTTGGTAAGAATATATAGTGCCATGTGTAAACAAGCATCGGAAGAATATGATGAACAACAGGACCTTTCTTCTATCCCGTCTTTTTTCCTTTAAACAATTTGCTAGAAAATACAAAGCTAAATTTAATTTTTAAAAGTCAGTGGTAGGGACTGAGTGGAACGTGGATTTTCTGGGAAAATGTTCCTATGGAAAGAGTTGGCTCAGACAACAAAAAGAGTTAGACGTTTCACGGACACTGAGCTACTAAGGCTCAGCTGCTCTGTATCAGGCTGACCCATGGCGATAGTAAATGTGATTTCCATCCATTTCTTAAGACAAGAGTTTTCCTTAAAATTAATTTGACTTAGAATTCTGAAAATGTGCTATTCAAAACTGTTTTCCCCTAGAAATCTGCTAAAAAATATAAACACCAATGCCCACTGTTTTTGCTCCTTTGTCTAGCTCACAAGTATATACTGTGGCAAAATCTTTGAAAATGTATGTCATATTTTTCAAAATAATCTGAAGCTTTGACTCTGCCATTAGATCATTTTTATTTATTTTTCTCTTACATTGATCTCATGAAACAGTGAAATCACAGAAAATCGTATGCTGTATTTCTTTATCAATAAGTCTTGTAAGTATACTTTTGTTTTTAAGTTGAGATGTTAAGCTGCTAATGTATAAGAAAAAATCAAATGGCAGTATTCGCATGACTGATGACAATACCATACAATACCTGCAGGTGGAATTTATTAACTTCTAGGTCTTCAGTTCTGACGTGAAAGTGTGTATGTCTCATGACAAATTCTTAAACCATTTCTACCTTTTGCATTTAAAAAAAAAGAATCTAACCATTTTCAGCACAATCTGTACTCCTCCAGTTCTGCAAAAAACCTGGACTCATCTATGAAACTCTCTGAAAAAGGAAGATGTTAAACAAAACTAATAGCAAGAGCTTCCATTTTCTTAAGGTGAAATAGTGTTCCACAGGTTAAAGAGAGAACATAAAAATACAGGGTTTATTTTTCATTCTAAAAAATTATTTGTAACTCCATGTTTGGTGTTCATGTAAATACAACTTTGTATGTATATGTAGCCAAT